ACTGGACACATCACAAAGCCCCTCCAATTTTGCTGGCTGAAGGGTTAAAAGTGTCACGGGCACAAGGGCCGAGTTAAAGGAGAGCATGTGGTGATTATCCACTCAACTAGAGCTCTCTTCCCTCGGCCCATTTTGCTGGAGCCTTATTTTAAAATTCATTGGCCGTCTGACTAACCCTGAACAACAGATTAACCATAAATGCATTCCTGGAACTTAAGTTCATCTTGCCTCAATGTTGTGTACAATTATCGGGAACATGGACCAATGAGGGTCAGGACAAGAGTCAGCATCGACTCAAATTCTGTTAGGGCAGCATAACACTTCATTTGAATCACACACACATCTTCAACACCATCGGGACAGCATTACAACCTTATAGCCATTAGCTGACCTTGTTATTCTAATCCCTGTATTAAGTTAAAGCAGCATTATGAAAATGTTTACTTTGGCTATATATTTTTCTTGCATACCCAGAAACCAAAGACGTTCAAATCTGTGTTAGATCTGCTAAGAATAATACCTGTAATCTCTCTGTGGCCAAACTCATATCATTTTTGTTTTTCTGTTAAGGTTAAATTAAATATTCTCTTGTGCTGTCTGCTCATTGTTTCACATTCATTTATTTTCTCAGAAAGATGAGCTCCTCATAGGTAGGCCACATAGCTTATAAGACCTAGCACACTGTAGTAATTCAAGAAAAAAAAATTATGATTGAATGATCATAATCTAACTGCTAGGGATAAATTTAGTCCTGTAAATATAAAGGGCTGCTTTGAGGTTCCCGCATAAATACGTGGTCAGTGACCTTAGACTAGGAATCTGTGGGTCAAAAGCTTGAATATGTGGGAAACAAATATCCTGTTCAAGGGGGAAAAATGTTCATCAAAGTAAGTCCAGGCGATCTGGATGAACTGTAGGCTGATTTGGTGTGAGGCAGAGGTTTGGGCAAGATGCCCTTTGGGATCCTTACTATTGCCGTGAAATAGCCCCAAACTTAAAAAAAAAGAGCCATGTGTAAAAGTACCGGGACAGAAAGCGGCATCGTTTGCTTGGAGAAAGACTTAGGGCCCGTTTCTGTGTTTCACAGGCTGCATCCTTGATTTCCATCCATTCCTGAGTCCGTATCACTAGTCTCCACTCCACGGCTCGCTTGTGTGAGATTACAGGATTAGGACCCTACATTTTAAGACTCACCCCACTTGTTACCTCCTCTCCGAAGCCTTCTCTGTTCATTTAATCTTAAGCTTACAACAGATGCCATTCTTCTTCCCCCCTCAATACTCTGCGCATAGTGTCTATCTTTTGGCCTTCCACACCCTGGCTTGCTTGAATGTGTCTGTCTCTTCCACTCACCCCCACCACATGGGCTCCTTAAGGGCAGGGATTTACCTTGGATATCTTTGTCTACCCAACACTTAAGCATAGTTTTTCTTTACATGTATAAAACTCCTAATAATCGTAAGTTGAAATCAAGTCAATTTATCAAAAACAATATACATATTTTTTTCACCCAGATGGTAGGAAGGTTTTGGTAGAAATCCTATCATCACAGAAAATGTTTCACCTTTTATTTAAGAACCAAATCATGTCGATAAAAGCTCTCGATGCCTGGGACTTTGTAGGTGCTCAATAAATAGAAGTTTCCTTTAGAAAGTTTGAAAATATATTTTTGGCTAAACATGATACTTTGAAATCTCTGAGTCATTTCGACTTTTTGATCAAGGGGTATATATTCGGTTGTCAGAAAAGTCATGACGCATTTTTGCAATGAAAAACAGAAAACAATACGTCATGACTTTTCCGACAACCCAATAAATAAAGATAATAAAGCAGATGCAAAACTGCAGGTGTTTTTGGGGGAGGGGTTGTCACTTTGAGGGGTAAAAAGTATAACTATTGCACTGTGTTGTACAGCTGAAACTAATTCTAAAAAATGTGTATTTCATAATAAAAAAATTAAAAAAAAAACTGCAGGTGTTTTGGTCACTTAAAGTTAGCATCTTTCTCATTTTTTTACTTGTCAAAAGCAGAAGCTAAAATACAAAGAAAAAAGAGATAATACGTCATAATCATTTACAAGAGAAATTTTTTTGGTAAAGTATGTAGTCATCTACATACAACATTGTTTCTTTAAGGTAGGAAAAAAAAAAAAAGGTTCACCTTTTTAGAAGTTCAACTTCAATTTTATGAATGAGGAAAAAGACCAAAATAGCTTAGTGGCCAAAATTGACTTAACTCTTTAATCTGACAATTACCAAACGTGGAGTTACTAATTTTCATTGTGCTTCTGTTGCAAAATATGTGTTAAGAGTCAGATTACTTGCATAGCTGGCTAGGACAGCTGTACAATTCACACATCGGCAGCTTTACTTTTAAATACCCACAGTAACTGGTGGTTGGGTTAATTAAAACCACAATTAAATCTATCTCTTGTTCTCACCTTGGCCACAAGCAGGACATATAATATTTCTGCCACGTCCGTAATTAAAACTTATTAGTGGTTAATGAAATCAATGCATATGCTAAGGAGTAGGTGCACCTGTTCCAAAACCCACAACCAGAAACCGCTCTAGCACAGTAAGTTCAATGAAACAGACAGGTGCCACTTTGGATGAAGACACTGTTCCTTTCAACTGAACACCAAGTCCTCCTAAAGAACCTCCAGGGGACTAGAATTGACAAAGGCTATGCTAATAATAAGTATTTTGATGTATACATCTCAAATCATCTCTCCCTGATCCAAATGTAAAGGCTTGGATTCAGAGGACCATTCACTACAAGAGTTCAGTTTTAAGACACTAAGGAAGGTCATCTTCAAACTCAAATTAGGCCAAGTTTTATTCTACTAAATCCCAGGAAAACTATGCCCCAAATAGAATGAGAATTTATTATGCTCTATATTCCCATCACTTTAATAACTTTCTGAGAGCAGTGACAAATCTAATTTTAAAATGATAAATTTGGGCTCTAGCTCATAAAATTAAGAAAAATACTGTTCCTAATGGTAAGTTTTCTTAAATTGCCACTGAAATTTAGGCAAGTCACTTATTTGATTAACAAGGCCAGCCTTGAGTGCTTTTTTTGGAGGAAAGAGCGGGTATTGATGACTAGATTCTACACTACTTTCTGTCTGGTATATTCAAATGTCTCATGACAACATACTCATTTGGACCAGCGCTCACGGAGCTTTTGTCTGAGCATCGGTACAGTTCTCATGAGGCACTTGAGGCTGCGGCGCCACACAGGGCAGGAATGCAGCAAGATGGAGAGGGCTGGTTTGGCGCAGAGCTGTCACTCTCCCCACGTTCCTATAGGGAACAGTAGAGGCAGTCAGGAAGCACCAGTTCTGATCCTAAGTCTGCCATCAACTTCAACGTTTCCGGGCTTCATTTTTTCTAAAACATACAACTAGAAGACATTCTTTAAGGAAGGTTCTCTCTACCACCAAGGGGAGCCAAAAGCCCAGGAAAAAAACATAAAGGCTTGTTTACCAATTTCCCCCAATGCTATCTTTATGTATCATCATGATTTCTGTTAGTCCATCATCCGTATTCTTGCTAGCGCAGAGGAGTCCCCCGCCAGTAAAACGAGGCCATGACCATGCATCCAAAGGCACACGTGCACTAAGATGAACCATCTTATCATCTATGCGTATGCATTCATCTCCAACGAACCTACCAAAAGAAGCCTTAATGTTCCTGTGCTTTCCATACCAGGACTAGTTTCCAATAGGACAATCACCTTTTGCTCCTCTGTAGTCAAACTACTGGGTTTGACAGGACCTTCAATGTCAAGTTCAAATGCCACCTGTTTCAAAAAGCCATTCTTGATCTTTGCAACCAGATGCTCTCCGCTTCCTTCAAACTCCCAGAGCACTGTTCTCCTACGTCTGCCTTCTCCATACTCCCAGAGCTCTTTTATCCAGTGGCACAAATGTTCTATGACAATCTGTGGGCTGATATTATGCTCCTGAAGGCAGGGCCTTGTTTTTTTTCTTGATCCACTGAAGGCCCACCTCAAACAGCGCCATCTACACAGCAGGACCCCACTGCATGGGAATGAATCAAAGTACTCGACTACAGAGAGGGGGGCAGAGACTGGACAGGGCTTCCTGTGCTTCCTAAAACCAGTTCTCCGTGTAAAGGCACAGGATGCTATAATGCATAAAGGGAAAATGACAGAACTACTTCTACACTAACACTGGTTTGTGTTTCGGCAGGAGCACCACAGGGACATAGTAGCATGTGTCTGCTCCAATGGGCTGTCGTGGTTTTACGGTGGTCTCCGCCTCCTTCATCTGCTTCTCTGATGTACACTTTTGGTAACAGAACATTCTGTTATCATTAACTTTTGCTCCACATCTGAATTAATCTTAAATACAGTTCAGTTGCCCATCTTAGGATTGGCTATTTTCAGAGGAAATGAAGTTAGCTTGAATAAATACTATGTGAAGGGCAGGATTTGATTTCTGTGGCCAAGAGTGTTTCCTGGGCACAGAGTCTTATGAAGAATCTCCTATTTGCTCTGGTTAATTTGATACTGCATTGCCCAGAGTTACAGATTACTGTCCCCATCTGTATATCACCACAGCTATTTCAGACTGGTAAACATGTTTGTCCTGATGGTTACTGAATATTTAAATAGATACCATCGCTTTCTGAGTCTTATTTCCCTGTGCACTCATCACTAGTCTAATGCTATTACAGCGTGTAGACTTGAGTTTGACAGTTTTCTTTTTAGATAATTTCTCTGTAATATCTGGCTTTATGAAAGAAAAAACAAACAAACACATACATTATCACATGTAGGGAAATCAGGACCTTTAGAATGTTAGCTTAGATATTCCACATGAAAAATAGAGGGTTACAACTTCGGGCATAAAAATGCAGGAAATCTTTCAACAAAGAAGAAGAGTGTGTTAGAGGGTGAATAAACACGCAGGATTTCACCCCAAAGCCAAAGGCACAGCATTTCCCCGGGCACCCTCGCCCCCATCTTACCTCTTGTTTCTGTCCTCCAGCTGTAGCATGTACACCATGTCATCAGCAGCATGTGTCTTGGCGCTACTGTCTCCCCATTTCAGCTTCAGGCTCTGAGGCCCGGCTGCAGCGCATTCAAGCCTAGGAGGCAAGGGTGGCAATGGCCGAGTTTTTGCTTTAATGAACTGACTAAACGGTCCAGCTCCAATTTCATTTATGGCCTGAATTCTGATCCTGGAAAAAAAATACAAACATGGCAGGTTTAAGAAGCAGTGATTTCTCATTTGAAATAAACATTGTGTGGAGTATTTCTTACTTACCCCTAAAGCAATAGCACAGAATAAAGACAAACAAAGTATTCAAGACAAATAGAGAACTGGGCAACTCGGAGGACAGATTATACTCTCCATCCAAAAAACGGCAAAAATAAAGCACATTCGTAATATATCACTTAGATATCCCAAGATGTTAGTTTAAAAAAAAAAAAAAGGCTGTTGTCTACAGGAAGACATCCTAAAGATAGGTTTTTATATTTTGTTCTAGCCACCCTTTAGCTGCCTCAAAGTCAGTTTTGGAAATAAGTTTTGAAAGTAAAGGATTGTCAAGTTTTGGAAGGAAGTTTTGGAAGTAAAGAAATAGAGAACAAATGAGTCTCCTTCTGAATTAAAAAACAAAGGACATCAGCTCTTCGGTAGGGCTTTCTCCTGCCTTGCCCAACAATCTCTGCTAGTCCTGAACAGATGTACAAAAATCTTAACTGGATGTTTATTATGTGCAGTGTTAGGGGCAATAGAGATTCACCTACACCCTCAATACCTCTTCCCGCAGTGACTGGATATTCGTGAAATTTGTTTCCTCCTGGTATTCAGTGGCCTGCACATGCTTGCCGAGACGTCCCTCCTTACTTCTCGTATAATATAAACAGTTCTCTCCATAGCCTCACACACTTCCACACCTTCGCCCACTGTAAGACCAAGACCAGGTCTACATCTCGTCAATCTTTTCATGTCCCATTTGTAGGCATCCTGGGGGAACCTCCACCCAGACCCCTTGGTAGGTCCACAGGCATCTTACAAAGATCACTGGGCAGTGTGATGTCACATTTAAACTTGATCTGAATTTGAAGCAGTGTTTTAAGACACATGATAATAAAATATAGTCAAAGAGATAAAGTCTTAGGAAACAGATCAGCTTAAAATATTATAATTTAGGTTTATACACTTCTCATTTACAACAATTATTGCTTATACTTAAACAGAAAATATCATATAAGTATTACTGTAGCGAAATTCATCTGTGACCTCAAATCAAACTTCATGCTTCAAATGTAAAGATTCATAATTTAGCAAGTCAACATAATTCTATGCCTGTAGATTAAGAAGAAAAACCCTGATTAATCGCAGGTGAGATGGAGTGAGCACACGCCACTCTGTCCCTTCCATTGAATGAATCTATTAAACCTGGACAAAATAAATGGAGTAGCTATTCAAGAACTATCACCAAGCCAGCAGTGAGTTTACCTTTTCCCTCCATTGTCCCCCATTGCCCCTCCATTGAACTCAATGGAGCCTGAAATCCAGGAGCAGATATCTGCATAAGCAGAGTTCTAGGAGAAGCCTGGCTCGAGAGAAAGTGGTCTCTAATGCTAAGAACAAATGGGGAAAATCCCCAATTCTTTTTTTTTTTTCCTGCATCCTCATTCCCTAGCCCTTAGCCAATTCCTTCATATTAACAGCCTAAAGAGAGAAAAAAATCACATAAGTGCATCAATTGATACAGAAAAAGCATCTGATGAAATCTAACATATATTCATAATAAAAATCCTCAGCAAACTAGGAGTAGATGGGAACGTTCTCAACATGAAAAGGGCATCGGTAGAAATACCTACAGCTGTATTGTACATTATACTTAATAGTGAAAGACTAAAGGATTTCTTTTTAGGATTGGTAACAAGGCAAGGAGTTTACTCTCACCAACTCCTATTCAACATCATGCCCTAGAAGTCCTAAACGGTGGGGGGGAAAAGTAGAGATAGGAAAAAAAGAAATAAGACTGAGACTACAAGAAACTGCTGAAAATATTCAAGACTTAAGTAGAGAAAGGCATACTGTACTCATGAATGAGAAGACTCTACACAGAAAAAAAAAGTCAATTCTCTCCCAATTAAGATATAGATATAAGGTGATTCTAATAAAATTCCAGCAAGACTCTATGAGTAGACATACATAAGTTGATTCTAAAAGTCATATGGAAAGGCAAAGGAACTAAAATTTCTAACATGAATTTGAAAAATAAGAATAAAGTTGGAAGAATCACACTACCTGATTTAGGACTTAACTATAAAGCTACAGTAATCAAGACAGTGTGGTAACTGGTAAAGAGACAGACACATAGATCAATATAACAGAATAGAGACTCCAGAAATAGATCCACACAAATATGGCTGATTGATTTTTGACAAATGTGCAAAAGTAATTCAATGGAGAAAAAATAGTCTTTTTTAACAAATTGTGTTGAAACAATTGGATATCAATAGGGAAAAAAATAAATCTCAATCTAAACCTCATATCTTATTCTAAACTTAGAATGGATCATAGATCCAAATGAAAAATATAAAACTTTTAAGAAGAAAACAGGAGAAATTAGGTAAAGAGTTTTTAGATAGGATATAAAAACATGATTCATAAAAGAAAAAAACCAAAAAATTGGACTTCATAAAAATTAAAAAATTTGCACTCTTAGGAGAATGAAGACAAGCTATAGACTGGGAGGAAATATGTTATATATCTGACAAAATGAATTGCATCCAGAATGTATAAAGACCTCTAAAACTCAACAGTAAGAAAACAAACAACCCAATTAAAAAATGGGAAAAAGACTGAAACAGACAGTACACTAAACAGGATATACACATAGCAAGTAAGCACACAAACAGAAATTCAACATCATTAGCCATTAGAAAATGCAAATTAAAACTACAATGAGATGCTACTATATCTCTACTAATACGGCTAAAATAAAAAAAATACTACCTATTGGCTGGTATAAGTAGCAACTAAAGCTCTCATATTTTACCGGTGGGAACGCAAAGTAGTATAGCCACATTGGAAAAATTTTCTTATAAAGTTTCTTTTTTTTTTTTTTTTTAAGATTTTATTGGGGGAATTGGGGGAGGGAACAGCGTTGGGGAATCGGGGAAGGGGAACAGACAAGTTGCTATCCTTTGGTTCTTCAGTCTAGTTGTGGAGGACGTTGCTTCACTGGCCCATGTTGGTATTATCATTGCGCTTTTCCAGGGCGAGGCAGATCAGTCGCCGGCCTTTGGACGCCGCTTACGGCAGCTCACGGTAGCTCATGCCACCGGCCGCTCATGCTGGTTGCCAGCCACTTGCGGTAGCTTACAGCAGCCCACTACAGCCCCACTGCAGCCTACGCCGTCGCCGGCAACTCATGGCAGCCTAGCTCCAGGTTGAGCTGTTGTTCACCATCTTAGCTGTAGAGGGTACAGTGTCACTGGCCCATGTGGGAACTGAACCAGGGCCCTGCTGCTCAGAGCCAACTCTTAACCAACGAGCCAGTCGGCCGGCCCTTATAAAGTTTCTTACAAAATTTTACATACATTTATCATAGGACCTAACAATCTCACATCTTGGCCTTTATTTTAGAGAAATTAAAATTTATGTTCACAAAAAAACCTGCACAGATGGGTTTACAGCAGCTCTAGTCATAATTATCTACAACTGGATGACTATCTGCCTTATAGTTTAGAATACAGCAAATACTCATCTCTGATAAAGTATGGCACCATTTCATTAAAGAGTCTTACTTTTCCCAGATTCTATTATACTAGAAACTACATCAGGTCTCTTGCAGACAATGCATGTCTCTCAATATAACACTGAAAGACTAAAATAAACTCTCCCCTACCTCCTAACATGAGTCTTATAAAATAGCTTCATGGTACTAATACAGGAATATTTTTCTGTGATTGGAAAATAAGACATTTTTCTGCAACTGGAGAAGAAGTATCTTTTTAAAAGGTAGAAATTACAACCCTTTTTGCCTTCTTAGGAAAAGAGGATTAAGCCAGACATTAAGTCTCAGTTCTTCAATGGTGTAACACGTTTCCTCACCTACAAGGTTTAATGTCTCTCTAGTCTCCAGACTGCCATTACCTTCCCCTTACTCTAGGCACAGGTAGTGGGGAGCCCAGGGGCCGAGATGCTTTCTTCCACCTTCTTGCCCAGAGGCCTGAAAACCATGCTCACTGTGTAGTCCAGGTTTTGCTCTGTGCAGCCCAAACACCCTTAGTTACTTTATAAACAAAGGAAGTGAGGCAATGGCACTTGTTTCCCCAAAGCCTCCATAGTGTTTTGATAGAGAATGGGTTCCTTATATTTGTAGCTCCATGACTCTCTGACCTTTCACCGAGAAGTATTTGGGAGGCATAGTCTTGACCTTAAATACACACGACAACAACAAGAATACTATGGTAGCGTTCTAACGCCCTTCTTTGGGAATCCTGTTCATCACTTTGGTGACCTTAGGGAAATTATCCAACACCTTTAAGTCACAGTTTTCTAAAATATAAAATGGGATAGTAACACCTGTGCTGCATTTACAAACAGGATTACTTAACTAAGATAAGGAATATGAAAAGCACTTTATATTTTTTTAATATTTTATACTCCACCATACAACCAGAAAAGGATTCAAGGTGGCCAATAGCACAGGGGTGAACTTTAAAGGGCTAATTTATGAGAATATTATTCTTATGACTTCTTTTGAGACCATCATTCCTCTCGAACAGTGAAGAAAATGTGTTGAGCATCCACGAGGCGTGGCACTGTGCTGGGCGTACAAACGTACGTTTTCATTTAGTTGCACCATTGCCACCACCTCACTTTATAACTTGAGTTAATTTGCTGATACCATCTATGCTTTACCTTCCTCAAAATTATGGCCAGGGACCCAACCATGGCTGAAAGGACTGGCTGGCTTCTTTTTAAACCATCCACAGTAGGTGAGAATGAGAACAAGAGCTCTGGAACTGAGGAAAATGCTAATGACGACCAATGAGCACCGCCACAAACAGCAAGGAAAACTTGCTCTGTCCAAGAAACTGAGCCATGGGGTAGGAGCCTGTATTATCTCTTGCCTTTAGATATGAGGAAACTGCAGTAAAACTCAGAGAAAGGTGAAATAACCTAAACGACACAGTGGCTAGTAGGCAT